CTGAGCTACAGCTGACTAAATCTGCTGTAAATGAAGGCAGAAATCAGTACTGAGTTAGAAGCATTCCTATCACAAACCTCCCCCCATTCTTTTTCTCTAGTGAGTATTCTGTCACAGTGAGACTTTCCCACCTTACTTCCCCAGTAAAATCAACACGGATATGTCACATTTTTAGTTATTGTTTATTTCAGCTGCTTGGGCCAAGCCTGTGGTAAAGTAACTACAAAACTGTCCAGGCTAGTTCAGATCTGGTTTACTTTTACCTGTAAGATTATAAGATTGCTCCTTGAAGTGAGCAGATTGTCACTTGTTTCTCTGTGAAGGCTGTAACCAAAGAATTAAATTGTGTACATCAGACTGTGGCAAATAAGACTCAAAAAAACACTTGATCACAGATGTGACATTGGACAAAAAGTTATCTGTCACCTTTACTTGCAGTGACAGCAATATCTCCCAGCTTCTCCCTCCTCTGCTTAATATGCCATCAGCCATTTGTGTCACAAGGCCGGTGAGAAAATGATGGTATGTTCAGAAAGAGGGCAACCTAATGGCATAAAGCCTCAAAACCAAAGCATTCTATTCACATGGCTACCAACAACTGATGTAACCAGGGCTGACTTATATGACATCACTGTCACATACAGCACTCTGTGTGTTGTAACTTAACCAGGCCAGAAGGAAAAGCGTTATGCCGTGTTTTATCTACCTCCTGTAAGGGCCTGGCTGGTCATTCTTCCCATTACCAGGAAGAAAGGAAGAACTGTGCTCACAAGGGATACCCAAGCACTTCACCCTTTACTCATTTCATGGCCCCTTCTCCCATCCCGAAAGTGTCCCCCTTCAGCTCAATCAAGTGCACTCACTATCTTACCTTTCCAATAATTTTCTCCTTGGCAAAACCACTAATATAATGAAACCGTTAGTTAGCTGAGCACCTTCAGGTTGAGGACAACAGAACTTACTCTGAATAACTTGTGGGGTTAATACAAACCCAGGATCGATAGATACGATGCAAGAGAGCAAAGCTTTAGAAGACTCATCAGCCTTTGATGGAGCACATCTCCCGTCATAATGACATAGCTAAAGCATTGGTTATTCAGCTTTGTTCTGTTTTCTAGCAAGGGTTTTAATCCCATTTCACAACAGAATACATGGAGGAACTTATTTGATGAGATCTCAAGTACAGCTTTTTTTTTTTTTAATTGTTTGATTTTTTGACATTCCATAGGAGCCATATAAATCAAAGAAATAATGTTGGAGGGAGGTGTTTCCTCGGTTCCATTTCATCGCCACTGTCATCCTTGGCAGTATTTCAGAAAGGATTTCTGAGGTATTATTTGAAAAGTGGCCTGATTATGATCCCATGGAAACCACTGACAAAATACTCACCAACTGCAACTGAAATCCATCTATTTAAAAATTTAAATAATGACATGCTGATTTGGAGAAAGGAAATAGAGGTAAAACTGAGAAGAAAAAGATCCTTATGCCCTATTTTTTGTCTACACAAATCAATGAGAAAAAGATATTTTTTTTTTTAATGTATTTGTGCCAGAAAAAGAAGAACATTAAGAGAATACTTTCCTTCAAGATATTTCTTTCATTTTCATGATCTTCTTAAACCGGGATGGACAGGAAACAGCTCTTGAGCCTTTTAAGTAGGTCAATTGCAGTTCTTATGCCTGGACCACATTCCCCACTGTGGAAAGCAAGATATCAGCATATATGCACTCTCCCTAGTCACATGGAAGCTTCCTTCTTTCCCCCCAGAACCCAGTCCCATTTCTCAATGGGGTGGGACACACACACACACACACACACACACACTGACTGGGGAGCAATTACCATCTTTTGCTTTTTAATTGCTCCCAAGCGTTTCCTCTTCCCTTGTTTCTTCAGGTTATAATAAATGTATCTTCAAGTTCTCAGCCAAATTAAGATTTTACTATGCAGTCATATGGTATGGGAGACTGATGGCTTGTGTATTAAACTGCCCCCAGACCTATGTTGTTGTATATTAAAACTGCTTTTCTGGGGGCCCAGAAATCTGGAATTATTTTCTGCAGTGATGCCATTTCACAATGAGTATGAAGAGAACCCTTCCCACAAGCACCTCACTGCTTCTTTGACAATAAACATGAGTTAAAACATGCCAGATGTCCCATTTTCAGGATCTGTGTTTCACCCATTATCTATTCCATTAAAAATAGCTTCCTCTTTAAGGAGAAGCACAATTATTAAATTTTTTTAATCAAGCAAATAAAAATGTATAATTTGGCCATTAACATCCCTCCATTCTTCACTTTTTTATGCCCATGCCCAAACCTCAAGAGACAGGGGACTTGGACTCAAGCTCATTGCTTTGTAGCCACTCCTAACTTCATCTAAGGGAGAACCTGAACACTTTGTCCAAAGCGCCGTGGTGTTTGAATGAGCCTTTTCCTCCCCATTCATCTACAAATCACACTCATTGGAACAGTTTCTGATCCCTCACAAAATCAGTGAGCTATAATATTTTCTTTCATTTTCCAGGATTTCTGCATGAAATTGTACAATGTGAGCATTAACTCTTTTCTTGGCATTTAACTGGATACACTTTCACACACTCAAGCCTTCATATTATTTGAAGGTCAGATTTAAATGGAAAAGGTAAATGTATATCAGAAAGACTGTAGTAAGTCAGAGTCTCCTTCTGAACCATTATATCTTTAAAGTACATAATGTTCAAAGTCTTGCCAAGACAAAGTCTTGGACACCTTTCTTCATGTGGCTGATGGGAAGGAGCTGCTACATTGGGTTCTGTAACTATGAACTGATTACGTGCTTTTAATAGTCAAATATGCACTCAGAATAAAAAGAAATGTGCTTCCAAAGAGTAATAGAAAATGTGTGTATCATTTCATCTACCTCTCTTTTAATTAGGCATGTGTAAATAAGATGGCTGTTGCAAGGTGCTCTATAATCAGGTTACCTAAACGTCATCCCCTTCCTAAATCAGAATTTACCATTATGGAGATAGTTACTGATTGTTGTTTCCTACTGCTTCTTCTTCTTCTATTATTATTATTATTATTATTATTATTATTATTATTATTATTATTATTATTATTATTATTATTATTATTATTGTTATTATTATAACAGGCAATATGCCCCATTGCAATTTTGCATGCATGCCTGGGAAAAAAAGTAGATGACATAAATTGCATGCATAATCTCAGGAGACAATCATTTTAAATCTTAATTGGCTGCCTTTTAAATATCATTTAAGGTCTCGTTTTCTCTGCCTCTCTCTCTCTAGTTAAGAAGGTGTTGTGTCAAAGTCTATTACCTTGCTGGACGTCTCGCCTCTAAGTTTTTTAAAAAAATAGAACCATCAGCAGAGGTTTGAGAGGTCGATAAAGCTTTTAGATTTGGAGATGTTTTCAGGGAGCCCATTTCCTGCGGCTAAGAGTTGTTAATGGAGCTTAAGGAATTATCTTATGACTCGGGCTGGGAGAGCCGTATATTTCTTCGCTCCTGTTCCCTTGTCGAGGCTGAATATGCTGCTGTCAAACTCGCTTAATGAAAAGTAACGCGCCGCTGATTACAGTTTTATTTGGGCTCTATGTAAAAAGCACTGTTAATTTAGCATCCCCTCCTTTGTGTGTTTGAATTTGCCATGGCTGAATGATTTAGAGTCTCTCAGTTTCAAGCCGTTTCTCTATGATTTTTTTCCCCCTCATCTCTTTCTTTCTCAGTCTGCCTTGTATTTCTGCTTTGTACAACCATAGGAGCTGCACGGCTTTCCCTTACAGCCCCGTAGCCTCCTCTAAAGCAGCTGAACCTGATCTTTGACTTGTGCAATTGAATCAAATGGCAAAATTAATTTCTCACACTCTTTTGTTCATACTTTAAAAAACCGCAAACCAAACCAAAAACCCAAACCCAAACCAACACTTTTGAAAGACCACTGCATTTGACGGCTGATCTAGAGATAAGGTTCGTGTAGTAAAGCAAGAAACTATTTTTCCTCCCCCATAATTTAACCAGTCTCTCCCCAGGATCGTGATCGTGCTGTGATGTGAGGACATTCAGACACACCAGCTCTAATTCCCGGCCAGTCCCGCGGTCGGGAGGGATAGGGGCTTGGTACAGAACAGCCATAAACTTACTCAAACTTGGTTTATAACGACAATGACACGAAAAATAAGAGATAAAGATTTGGTCCGCTTTTCTTTTGGCTGCTGGTATCTCAGTGGTACTGCGTTTGCCCACAGTTTTACCACCTTCATTTTAAGTCCGGGGGGGACTGGGGAGGGGGGGGTGTGCGTGAAGGAGTCACCTCCCAAATGTCGGGCTGACCCCACCGCGCCGCTGGCCGAGCCACGGCCAGTCCGTGACGATCTGTAACGGCGGGCGGGCGGCGTGACCTGCC